GGCATGTGGGATCTTCCCAGACCGGGGCACAAACCCGCGTCCCCTGCCTCGCCAGGCAGACTCTCAACCACTGCGCCACCAGGGAAGCCCTCAGGAGAGATTCTTATCTCAGAAAGGATTCATGTCTAGACTACACAAAGAACTCTTCCAGATCAGCAAGAAAAGAGAGATAACCCGACTGAAAACTGGGCAAAGGATATGAATAGTCAATTCATAGAAAAGGAAGCGTGGATTACTCACAAGTACATGAAGAGATGCTCCACCTCAGCAGGGATCACAGAAATGCAACTTAAATCAGCAGGACATGGCACTTTGGATCAGTTAGATGGGCAAATATTCAAAGGATAATATCACGCATTGGAAGGATAAGAGGAAACAGCTGGGGGTGTAAATGGGTACTAGCCTTTTTGGAAAGCACTCTGACATACTTTATGAAGTGAAGTATGTTTATCCCTATAAGCCAACAGTTTCACTTCTGGGTATACATTCAGAAAAAAACCACGTGCAGGAACATATATGGGTTGCATCATGTTCATTGCTACACTGTTTATAATAATAGGGAGGTGGGGGGACGTCCCTGGGGGTCCAGTGGTTAGGACTCTGAGCTTCCACTGCAGTGGGCTTGGGCTCGATCCCTGGTCCGGGAACTAAGATCCCGAATGCCACACGGCACAGCCAAAAAGAAAGAAATAAATAAACAGGGAGTTGGAATCAACCTAGGTGCCCATCTCTACTGGAATAGACAAGGAAATGTGATGGGCAAGTCTCTGCAGCACCTAGTAGCCACAAACTAGACTAACAGAAAGCAGCACGGAAAGATCTGAGAAACAGTGTTGAGGAAAAAAATCAAAAATAGGAAAAAATCTATAGCACGATATCATTTATGGAAATTAAAATACATACATATATTAAAAACACTATTTTTCTAAGTTAAAACACACATCCATGGATGCATATCAAATGCATTAAAGAGATGAGTTAGGAAAGAATGGAAAAAAAGAATAAGGATGTGAAATAAAGCACATGAAGGATCTTGCAAAGGCTGGTAATGATTTTGTGGCAGAAAATGAAAAGTATGATTCATCCAAATTTGTGTACTTGAAGTTCAAGAAAGCCCACACTAAAAAAAAAAAAAATGGTGCTTTCTAAATTGCATTTTAAGACCAGAACTTCCACAGAATTCACCTACTCCAACTTTCTCATTCCACAGATGGGGAAACTGAGGAGAGAACAGAGGGAAAGGGAGGAGAGAGGTCGAGAATAAGAGGGGTATTAAGAAATAGGAGACAGGTCAGGTGGTCTGGGGAAGTGGAAAGGAACTTTCCGAATTGAAGGGGGATGCTGAGGGACAAGAGATAAATTCCAGAGACAGGTGAGGTGGTGTGGGACACTCCACCTGGTACTGTCAAGGAAAGAAAAGGGCATGAGATGTCCTGGCAGGAGCAGTGGGAAATGTGAGTCCTGACCCCGCAGCAGCAAAAAGTAAAGGATGCTCTGTGCAGCAGAACAAACGGCGAGGATGCTATCTGCCACCAGTCGGTGGGGGGAAAGCGGTCTTCCTCTACAAGGGAAATGGGAAGTCTCAACTAGAGAATAAGAAGGTGTGATACATCTTTCTGAGAGAGTATGGGGTGTCTGGCATCCCATTTTGGCTACTAATGATTTAGGGCATCTTGTCTCTGACCCCAGAGGATATGGCATATCCCATTTGGAAAAGAGTAGGATATGGGTCACCCCCCTTTGGGATGTCCTTTGATGGGCCATGGGATGTGTGGGATATTTCTGAAATCTTGCAATTTGGGAGATGTCCTCTGAAGGGTCAGGATTGTGGGATGATGGTGATGGTCCTTTAAGGAGACTGAAGCTCTTTCTGACCATTAGGGAGACATCAAGGGATGTGAGGGACCCCATATTATGCAGTCAGGTGGGGCGGGACAGCCCCCCGAGTGCAGTGAGGACCTTTGGGACATATTTATGGACTAGTGAGATGCAATACAGTGTCGCTGTTAAGAACAGAGATGACCAGGAACCCTCCTACACTGTTGGTGGGAATGTAAATTGGTGCAGCCACTATGAAGAACAGTATGGAGGTTCCTTAAAAAACTAAAAATAGAACTACCATATGACCCAGTAATCCCACTCCTGGGCATATATCCAGAGAAAACCATAATTCAAAAAGATACATGCACCCCAATGTTCGTTGCAGCACTGTTTACAATCGTCAGGACATGGAAGCAACCTAAATGTCTGTCAACAGAGGAATGGATAAAGAAGATGTGGTACATATATACAGTGGAATATTACTCAGCCATAAAAAAGAACAAAATAATGCCATTTGCAGCAACATGGATGGACCTAGAGACTGCCATACTGAGTGAAATAAGTCAGACACAGAAAGACAAATAGCATATGATATCGCTTATATGTGGAATCTAAAAAAAGGGTACAAATGAACTTATTTACAAAACGGAAGCAGAGTCACAGATGTAGGAAAAAAACTTATGGTAACCAGGAGATAAGGGGGGTAGGGATAAACTGGGATATACACACTACTATATATAAGATAAATAAATAATAAGAACCTACTGTATAGCACAGGGAACTCTACTCAATACTCTGTAATGGCCTGTATGGGAAAAGAATCTAAAAAAGAGTGGATACATGTATATGTATAACTGATTCACTTTGCTGTACACCTGAAACTAACACAACATTGTAAATCAACTATACTCCAATATATTTTTTAACATTTTTTAAAATTTAAAAGAAAAAGAAAGAACAGAGATGACCAGGGTTCAAACCCCATATGACTAGCCTGGGTGCATAGACTGTGACATTTGTATTTCTTGCTCCTCATTTTGGGGAGGATAATAACTACTCATAGGGTTGCTATGAGGATTGATGAGTTCATGCAAGTGAAATACTTAGAACAGAGCCGGGCACTACATTAGCATCTAATATTTTTTATTGCCAGAGTATCCCACTTGTCAAAAATTTGGGAACTTCCTGCTTGAGGCTCTGAGGGGTGAGAATTAGCCAGTCTGCATGCTGACTGGGTGGTACCTCAGATAACAAGGGTGCTTGGCATCCCACTTTGTTATCAAAGGCTTGGAACATCCTTATTTGGACCCTAGGGATGTAACAGATCACATCCGGAAAAGTGAAGGAGGAGGGAAATCCCATCTGGATCCCAGAGGGATAGATCTTCTTTGAGGGGTGCTGAGATTATAGGACATCCTTTGGAGAGGAAAGAGTGTTGCAGATGCCATACGGGTGACCAAGCATGCGACATCCTAAATGGGCTCTGAGCGGTGTCAGATAGTTTCCTTGGGTCAGTAGAGGTGGAGTGAGATCCCATTCCTGTCCCCTAGGCGTATAGGATGTCTCTCTGGTATAAGTTTAGGGCATGGCGTGGCCTGTCTGGGAGAGTAAGAGGTACGGGATAGCTCTCTGGCATGGGTATGGGTGAAACAGCCACTCTGTAGGGAAGTGAGGGGTGTCGGGGTGCCTGGAAGAGAAAATGAGAAGGGCTGGAGTGTCCAGTTGGGGAATTTGAGGTGAAATGGGTAGGAAATGAAGCAGATTTTCCAGGAAGCACAAGGTCTGCCCTGGGATGTTGGGAGGTCTTTGGTGAGAGCTGTTTGGTGGAATCGGCAGGAGGGAACAGCATACTTTGGGGTGGGCATCAAGGCGGTCTTTCTCCCCAGGGCCCACAGGATTGGGGGTGCAGGCTGTCTCCAGTGTGGGGAGAGCAAGCTGACACCAGGAACCCAGAGTCTTTCTCTAAGGGTGCAGGCTGTCTCAGGGGCGCGAGCGTTTCTGGGAGACAAAGGCTGTCTGAGGGCACCAGCTGTGTCCGGAGTCATCGGCTGGGTCCGGGGGCACAGGCTGTGTGCAGAGGCACAAGGTTTCTCTAGGAACATGGGCTTGCTGGGGGTACAGGCTGGTCTGGGGACACAGAAATGTCTGGGATCACACGCTGTGCTGGGAGCATAGGAGCTCTGGAGGTCATAGGACAGTTTGAGGGCACCGGCTGGTCTGGAGGTACAGGCTGGTCTAGGAGCACAGACGGGTTTGGGGGAACAGGCTGCTCTGGGGGCAGAGGCTGGTCTAGAGCTACAGACTGGCCTGGGGGTGCAGGCTAGTTTGGGGGTACAGACTCCCTCTCTGCACAGTTTGTGCCTGGGGCAGAGGCTGTCCCCGGAGCACAGGTTGATGTGGGTAGGGGCGCATTCTGAGGGTGCAAGCTCTCTCTCCTCGGGGCTCAGGCACGGGTTTCTCAGACACGGGATACAAGCCCTGCGCGGGGGCGGCGGCCTCTCACCTCCGGGCAGCTCCGCTGGGCCGCAGGTGTCTCTGCCGGCGGGCACGTCCGCCTGCCACAGTCGCTTGGTGCACATCTTCCAGAGCCCCAGGTGGGCAGCATCACAGACGGCACTGCCGTTGTCCCTGTAGGTGTTGAGTTCCACCCAGAACTCGGTGCCCACGGCCAGCACTGCCAGCGTGGCACCCACGGAGGTCAGCAGCAGCGCCAGCTTGATCTTCCCCTCATGCTCAGGGGTCATCCTGGCCTTGCGCGCCCCGTGAGCTCGCCGCCGGCGGTCCTCCTCGTGCATGAAGAAGTTGGACCACATCATCATCCTCGTCGCGGGCGATAGGGCCCAGGTGCAAAAGAGGCAGAGCTGAGGCGGGCTCCTGAGGGGTGGGAGTGGGGAGGGAAGCGCCTGGGGTCTTGAAGCAGGTGAGGGGCTCAGTTTCCACTGGTCTGTGAAATGGGAAGATCTGAATCCTCCCTGGAACCTCAAATGAGGAAATCGAGGTCACTTCTGGGACCTAGATCCTCTGCTGGGAACCCTCTGAGGTTCAGAGAAGAGCCTGGGGTACCCACAGAAGCTCAGCAAAGAAGATGAGACTAGAGATAAAGCTAGGTTCCCCCAGCCTCACGGCTAGAACCTGGGTACCCAGGAGGGGGGCCTGAGAGCTCCAGAAGCAGGAGAACTGAGTGTCAGCTGAAGCTCTGAGGGGCTGCTCTGGGGTCCCCACTGGAGGGAATCACCAAAGGGAAGCTGTGTTTCCTTGGGGGAAGGGAATCCGAGCTTCCCACTAGGGCTCAAAGTTTGAGATACACAGGAAGGGGAGCTGAGGTCCTCTCTGTGTTTGAGAGGAGATGCTTCCTGGCTGCTTTGGGGCTCAGAGTCTGGTGAAGGAGAAGTTGGGTCCGCCCTGGGGTTCAGAAGAGGAAAAATTGGGGTGCGGGGAGTTCAGAAGGGGAGGTCAGAATTACTTCGGAGTCTCAGAGAGGCAGTAGGATTCCCCCAACTTTCACAGGGGGGACCAGCAGAGTCCTGGCTGGGGTTCAGAGACAGGAGGCTGGGGACCTGCTGGAATTCAGGAAGAGGGGAGGGGGGTCTCCCTGGCCATTCAGAGAAAAGACCAGAGAAGGTCTGCCCTAGGGGCTGAGAGAAAGGGGCTGAGGGACACCCCCAAGGCTCAGGAGGGGGACCTGGGGTCCCTGCTGGGGCTCAGATGAAGGTGCTGTGGTCCGCAATGCGGCTCAGGAAATAGGGACCAAGTCCCCTCACGCGGCTCAAAGGACAACTGGTACCCGGAAGGGACTCGGTGTCCCTTTGGGATCACTCGGCTCCCCTCCCCCGGGCTCCCAGGGCCGGCCGGGTCGGGACGGCTCCAGGCTCAGCTCCAGGCCAGGCGCCTCCCTCAGGCCTCCCACCCCCGTCTCCTGGGTAGGGACCCCTCTCGCTCTCCTGCCTCTGCGCGGCGCCGACCCCAGCTCCGCGATGCCTCCGAGCCGTCGGTTCTGCACGCCACTGCCTCCGCCCGCCGGCCCGGCAGCTCCGCTCACTCCCAGCCTCGCCCCCATCCGCCCACCCCCTTCACCATCGCCGGCTATTTCGGGCTCGACCCGTAAATAACACCCGCACCTGTTGCCGCCGCCTGTTGCCATAGGGATCCCGGGTATTTTAAGGGAACGAGGGGCAGGGAGAAGGACGTCTGCCCTGGGAGGAGGGGCTGGGGGTCAGGTCCTGACCCGCTGGAGACCGAAAGGACTTTTACTTCCTTAAGGGGCAAGGGCGGGAGCTGAGGGTCCCATCTCCCAGCTGGCGGGAGAGGGGGCAGGGCGGGGAACCAGGAGTTTTGGTCCGGAGCAGGCCTGGCTGGGAACCCGAACTGCTCGGTCCAGGGGAAGAGGGGCGGGGAGGCAGGACTCCTGGGTATGAGGGAGGAGAAAGCTGGGGCCGGTGTCTTGGGTCCCTGAAAGAGAAGAAACTGGGGACTTTAACTCGTGAGACGGGAGGGAGGGGGCTGGAGGCCTGGACCCCTGGGTCTGAGGGGGGAGGGGCTGGGGGCCTGGACCCCTGGGTCTGAGGGAGGAGGGGCTGGGGGCCTGGACCCCTAGTCTGAGGAGGAGAAGACTGGGGCCCAAATCCCTTGCATCTTGAAGGATGGTAAGAGAGAGTCCCGGGCCGGGGTCCTCAGCTCCCCAGGAGGTGGAAAGGGCAGGCCTCAGGGAGAAGCTGGTGTCAGGGGCGTGGGAACCAGAGCCACAGTCCTCTTCATCGAGTTTATTAGACGGGGCACCCCCGGGGGACCTTCCATGCAGTTTCAGCTCCCCCAGGGACAGGGACGGGGACAGCCGTGTGGAATGGCAGCAGGACCTGATCTTTACCCCTTCACTCCCTCCCGCAGCCCCTCTACGATGGCCCAGGGGGGACCCACCTTTCACCAACTCCTTTGCCCATGGTTGACGGCTCCAGCCGGCCCGGTGCATCCTAACCTTCTCTGTCCGCCGGGCGCCCTGTGCTGCTTCCGTTGGAGCATGCATGGCCCTGGGATGTGATTGCGATTGTGTACATCTGTGTCTGGCTCTCCCATAAGCCTCTGGCAGGGCTCGGGTGCAAGAGAACCCCATCTCATTGGCCTCAGCACCACCCAGCCCAAAATGCTACACAGGAGGCCTTAGGAAGTGTGCATAGGTGATCTGCATGAATGAATGAATGAGCAAATGGATGGACGGATGAAGGGAGATGGTGACACACAGACATCCCCTCCCAAGCTAGGGAAGGGCCCCCCTTCAAAGCACACCTCCCTCTGCATTCCGATTGGCCGCGCTGCCTGTCTTCAGATCTGAGTTCCCAGCTCTGAGATTGCAAGGCCTGGTGCCTGGAAGGCCTCAGGGACTATTTCTTAAATGAATGAGTGAAACCTGTTCTTTCCTTCACCTCACCGGGTATTCCCAGGCCTTGGCAGGACTCAGAGGGGAATCGGAGAAAGTGCCTGGTGCTGGCAGCAACGTGAAATGGGAGTCGGGCTGGGTGACATCCACCAGCGTCTCCATTCTGAGAAATCAGACACCTTCCTGCAGTGCCTCTGCCCTGCCTCCTGAATCCATCTTCCCCTCCCGGCCCTGGGCCTTCCCATCCTTCTCAATCTTGCCTGCTTTAATGGCTCTACTCCTTTCGGGAGTTATTTTTCTTTCTTCCATCTCCCTGTCTGCCAGCCTTCCTTTCTCTCCTTTCACAGAAAGGGTATGAACTTTCTTTGGTGGGAAAGTTCTTGTCACTTTCATACCAAAAGGATGGCTTGGCCTCCCTTTCCCTCCACCTCCCCTCCCACAATCTCTTCCTTCCACTCACTCAGGCAAAACTCCAGTTCCTACCGCTGCACGGCGATGACCTCGAGTCAGGGTCATGTTATCTTTGCTCCGCAGATCCTTTTCTGGTTCTCAGCACTGGCGTCTGCCTACTTCATGGTCACTCCTTGCCCCCTTAACTACATCTTCCTCCCTGCCCCCCACCATGCAGATGGCCCCGAGTCTCTGGCCGGGTTCTTTCTCTGTCATCCACACTCATCTCCTAGGTCACCTCATCCAGTCCTGAGGCTTTAAATACGCTGTCTCCTATATGCTGACATTTCCAAAACTTATATTTCCAAGCAGGACCTCTCCCCCAAGCTCCAGTCTCACATATCCAACTGGCTACCTGATACCCCAGCTTGGATTTCTCACAGGCCTCTCTTAACTTGTCATGGCACGAGGAGGATGCTTGACCCCTCCCACCTGATCCCTTCCCCCAGTGACCCCTTTCCAGGCAACACATAGCAGCACCACCCAACTTCACACAGCTGAGTTTTTCTCTTCTCTCTCTTTGGTTTTTCTTTCCCTCCTCTGTTACATGCAGTTCGCCACCACCATGGGCTTTGCCTCCAAAATCCCATTTCCTGTTCTTCCATTTTTCTCCACCCTCACCAGTTCCACATTGGTCCAGGCCACCATCAGCCTCAACTAGCCAAGGACGACAGCCTCTTAATTCCTTATTTCCAGCTTCACTCCTAAATCTATTCTCAGCGACGCGGTTCTGTTATTTTGTTTTGTTTTTATAAATGAAAACAGGAGCATGTCATTCCTATGCCCATCCCATGGGGTCTAGAATAAAACTCCAATTTCTTCCCAGGGCTACAAGCCCCCACATGACAGGCCCCCGGCGCACGCTTCCGACCTCACCCCAATTTTCTCATCCTTGTTCATCTGCTCGCCATGGGGTCTCCTCAAAAATCGGCGACTCCTCAGGGCTTTTGTGGGGTCTCTGCTTGGCCAGAATGCTTGTCGCGTTCCTTTACTTCTCACAACCCACTGCTGTTACTGCTGCAGTGGGTTCTTCCTCAGGCTCCTCCCCTAAAGTCGCCACATCCTGCTTTGCTTTCCCCCCACCCCATCCCCACCTGTGCTGTGTGGCTTGTGGGATCTCAGTTCCCCCCACCAGGGATTGAACCTGGCCATGGCAGGGAAAGCCCGGAATCCTAACCACCAGGCTACCAGGGAACTCTCTTTCCTGCTTCATTTGAAAAACACTTCTCTGCAACTGAAATTCTTATATATATTGTTTATTGTGTCTCTCCTGTGAGTTCCAGGAGAGCAAAACCTTGGCTATCCGTTCCATACCACATTCCTTGCACCTAGACTGGTCTAGAACAGGTTGGGACTCAATGACTTTCTTGAATACTGAAAACAAACAAACAAAAGAAATAGATGGATCCTATACCCTGTGCGTGCTTCTGAGTCTCCACATGGCTTTCTGGGCACATCTCTGCATTTTTCTCTGCAGCTTTACCCCTCCATTGCTGTGTATATATATATATTTGCATCTCTGAGACTTCTCTGTTTTTTTGTTTTTTTTTTTTTTTTTTTTGCAGTACGCGGGCCTTTCACTGTTGGGGCCTCTCCCGTTGGCTCCGGACGCGCAGGCTCAGTGGCCATGGCTCACGGGCCCAGCCGCTCTGCGGCATGTGGGATCTTCCCGGACCGGGGCACGAACCCGTGTCCCCTGCATCGGCAGGCGGACTCTCAACCACTGCGCCACCAGGGAAGCCCGACTTCTCTGTTTTGACTTGTGTATCTTGGTGGCAATCTCTCTCCTGTCCGTTTTCCTTTCCTTTCTGGATCACCTTTCTGTATCTTTGATCTTTTCCTTTGTCCCTGTGACTCACCTAGTTTTGGTCTCTGTTGCCCTCATCCTTCCTCCCCCACCTTCCCTCCTTCCCACCGCTCTCCCTTCTGCCCATCCTCCACCTTTCTTGCTTTATGTTTGGCCTTTGGACTCTAGAATCCACTACCCCCTAGCCAGCTCTGCCCCCGTCTTCCACCAAATTTGTCTCTCCCTGTCCTTCCCTCCATTTGTCATCCCTACACTAAGTTCCCCTCTGTCCCGCTAGTTGTATTCCTTTCCCTCTGTTTCCCAGCATCTCTTTCCAACATTGCCCCCATGGAATCCCTCCCTGGTCCCCTGCCCTCCAGTCTTCTAGTCCATCACAAGGCCTGGCAGATGGGGGACCTTGGGAAATCTTTGCTGAGCAAATGAAGGGAAACCCACTGAGCACTGTCCCTTCTGTGTCCTCAGTGACCTTCAAATCCATTCCCCCATCCCTCTACCCCCAGAGCCCTTTCCCAGCTCAGCTGCCACCCTCTCTCATCTATCCCACAGCACTGGCCTCCTGTCTAGCCCTTTCCCACGTCCCAGGTGCCTCCTTCTGACACCCACGTCTAATCCTGCCCTTCACCTGCTCCAAGCTCTCCCGTGTCTCCTGCTACCCTTAGAATAAAGTCCAAACTCCTCAGCCGGGAACCCTAGCATCCTTAGACTCTGGCTTCTAGCTGCTTCTCTGGTCTTATCTCCCACCCCTACCCTGACCTTCTGCATCCCCAAAGGATGAGCCCTGTCCCCAATACATCATGCTCTTATATCCCCCCCACAAGCTGACTCGAGTTGTTTTTTTCCCATGAAAGCTTTCCTCACCCCCTTCATCACTCATCCTTTTGAAACCCAGCTTGGGTCTAATGTTCTCCAGGAAGTTTCCCCAAGTACTACCCACTCTTGTCAGTTGGTCACTCTGTCTCTTCTTCTCTGGTCAAGCTGCCCAGCCTGGCCCCTGTTACAGCACCGATCGCCCTGCCTGGAGTTCGGTTTTTGACTCCTCCTTGAGAGCACCAGTGGGGATCCTGATACTAATACACTGCCTGGTACATTAGCAGATGCTCAAAAACGTTAAGGAGTGAATGGCTGAATTAATGGATGAGTGAAACATGAATCTCTAAGTCCTAGTGTTTCTCCTGCACACCAGACACCATGCCTGTGCTTCAGTATTTGTGTGATTATCTGCTCCCTCCCACGAGTGAGAGTTTGAAGGGCCAGTGCCTGTGTCTGATGCTGTATTTCAGCATGTCTCTGCCTCTCACTCTCATCTCTGAGTTCCTTCCTCCCTTTCTGTACCATTCATGTTATGATCCTGTTTAAAGCCATTCCATGTCTCCCCACTGCCCTCAAATTAAATCTAAACTCTTGACCTGACCTACAAGTCCCTGGGCGGTCTGGCCCTGCCTTCATCTCCAGCCTCATCTTGTTCCGTCTGCATGTGGCTCACTAGTACATGTTAGCCTTCTCTGGAAGCTCTGGAAGCTCTGGAAGCTCTTCCTGCCCCAGGGCCTTTGCATATGCTGTTCTCTGGCTAAGACACTTCCCTCCAGCTTCACCTGGCTGGCTTCTTGTCATCCTGGCTGGCTTCTTGTCATCCATAGCTAAAGTATCCCTTCCTTTTAAACTGGGCTAAGCCTCCCTGAAGGAGCATTTTGGATTTCTCCTTTGCCCTAACTGTAACTTACTGTGGTGTATACATTTCTTGGATTAATGTCTGTCTCATGCACAAGATGTAAACTCTATGAGGATGTTGGGGACCCTATCTGACTTCCCTCCTTCTGTAGGCTCAGCATTTGACACAATGCCTGGCACTTAAGTACACAAATAAATTGCTGGTAATGAATGATCAGGTCTGTCTCTGGGACTGTTTACGTTCCCTCCCCAGCGCCATGCTGGTACATAGCAGGTGCTTTTAAAGCCCTTGTGGAAGGATGAGTGAAGAAGTGAACGAATGCCCACGTCTGTCCCTTGTCACTTTGCCTTTCTGCATCCCTCTTTTATCTTTCTGTCTCTTTACATAGAGCATATATATAGTCTGCAGGTATAACTATATAGTCGTGTGTTATGGGTCCCTCTCCAGGAGTTGGGCTGGGCTGTCCGTGCCCCGCCCCCACATGCACACAGCAAAACATTAAAAAGAAAACATCTCAAAACTGCAGAAAACACCACAGCCCTCCCCCTCCCCCCCACAAAAAATAAATAAATAAAACACGACGCTCCCTCCCAACGGCCCCCTCCCTTCCCTTCCCCCTCCCTCAGGGTCCCTGATTCGGAGGGGGTGGCGGGCGCTCCCCCACGCCCGAGAGGTGGGGAGGGGCGCGGGGGAGCACCAAGCAGTCTCCAGCGCGCTCACGGGGAAGGAGGGGGGCACCCCCGACCCCCGGCAGCCTCGTTGCACGCGCGCCCGCGCACGCGCCCCGGACACGCCCCCCTCGGCGCCCCCCGTCGCGCCCCTACACGGGCGTGGTTTTCCTGTTGAGCGTGTTGCCGTTGGAGGCGGCGGCCTCCTTGGCCAGGGTCCCGGGGGCTGGCGCGGCGGGCGCGGGCGCGGCGGGCGCAGGCGCGGCGGGCGGCCCGGTGACCGTGACCGTGACGCCGCCGCCCGCCTCCTTGGGGAAGGCGTTGTGCAGCGTGAGGAAGCCGGACGCCCCCCCGCGGTCCCGCTCTGAGCCCGCCCCGCCGCCGCCACCGCCCCCCGCGCCCCCCGCCGCGCCGCCGTACGCCCCGCCGCCGGCACCGGCGCTAGCCAGCCCCGCGGCCACGCTGCCCTTGGACGGGTCGCGGCTGAGCGTGTACATGGAGATGTCCGTGGAGGCGAAGCCCGGGCCCCCGGCGCCGCCGGGAGACGCGTCCCGCGACGGCGACGGCTCGCTGGAGCGGGAGCTAGAGCGGGAGCGGCGGCGGTAGCGGAAGCGGTAACTGGGCAGACGGAGGATGGCCGAGGGGCCGCTCCCGCCACTGCCGCCCGCGCCCCCGCCGGCCTTGAGCAGGTCCGAGCGAGACTGGCAGTGCGCCTCGCGGCTGCGTTCGATGTAGATGTTGACGGCCAGCACGCCGATCACCTCGGCCAGGATGAACGACAGCCCGCCGAAGTAGAAGGACCAGCCGTACGAGTAATGGCTCTTCTTCTCCTCGTCCCGCTTCGGGCCCGGCTCGCCCGCGTTGGCCGAGATGTACACGATCACGCCGATGATGTTGCTCAGGCCTGGGCGGGGACGGTCAGACGGGAGCCTCGAGGCCACCCCTGGCCCCGCCCCCGCCCCCGGCCTGGCCCCGCCGGCCCAGGCCCAGCCCCGCTCTGAGCCCCACCCCTGATGGTCTAGGCCCCGCCCCAGATGGTCCAGACCGCCCCGCCCACTGGCCAGCCCAGGCCCCGCCCCATGTTGGCCTAAGCTCCACCGTCAGATGGTCCAAGCCCCTTCCCAGATGGTCTAAATTTCTTCCCAGGTGGCCCAGGCCCCGCCCCGAAGGGCCCCAAATCCTGCTTCGGATGGTCCACCATCCCCAGCTAATTCAGGTCCTACTCTGTTGGTCGAAAGCCCACCCTGGTCGGTCTAAACTCCGCCCCAGTTGGTCCGGGGCCCACCCCAGAAGGTTCAGGATCACCCTTAATGGTCCAGATCCCTCCGGGATGGCCCAAGCCCTGCCCCAGATGGTCTAAACTCCTCCCCAGATGGCCCAGGCCCTTTCCTCGCTGGCCTAAACTCTGCCCTTGATAAGATGACCCTGGCTGGGGTTTCCTGGCCCTACCCTGATTGGTCTAACTCCACTCTTAACTTTATAAATCTTGGTGTTCCCTAGGCCTCACCCTCCGCTCGTTTAGTTAATGAGGTAATCCCGCTCTGACTCTCTAGGCCCTGACTCTGGCTGATCTGAACTCTTTCATGATTATCCTCTATTCTAGGTCTCCCCCATACTATTACTAAAGCAGGTCTCCCGTCTACTCTAAGCCCCGCTTCCAGCTTGCTAAACCCTGCCCCCTGAGGATCGCGGTCAGGCTCCTCCCCCGTCCCAGGTGTAGTTAGCCCGGTCTTTCAAATCCTCCAAGCCCCACCCCCTGCAGATCTTGATCCAACTCCAAAGCATCCCCTGCTGTTTATGCTAAATCTTCCCCCTTCTCCTCTGGATTCCATCCCTTCAGAAAGGCTGACTCCTCGAATTTCCCAATACTACTCACTTCGAGTAGAAAGGGGGTCTTGCCCCTTAATGCCCTCCCTCACTACCGAGTTGGTCTGGATGCTTTCGCAGGACCAGACCTTTTTTGGGTACACCGGAGCCCACGAGGCCCCGCCCCCTAGAGCAGGCTCCTCCCCATCTGAATCCAAATCACTTTCTCCCTCTCAGGTCTGTCTTCTCTGTCTTCAAGACCGCAATTCAGCCTCAAGGGCCCACCCCCTCTCCCAAGCTCCTCCCCTTCCGTCTCCTGGACCGCAAGTTTTGGAATCTAAACTCCTGGCATCCCGGATTACGCGGTAGACAGACACCTGTCTGTGCTGGGTTCACTCGCCCAGAAGACTACCGGAAGGCGACACCTACCTCGCCCAGCGGGTGGCGATGGAGCTTGGGAAGAGCCTAGGAAGGCTCCGGGCCCCAGGGAGCGCCCGGGCAGGGTAGCTTTGCAGGCGCGCGCGCGCGCACACACACACGTGCGCGCTCGCAGGTGGGCCGCCCCCTCCCTCTGCCTCTCACCTGCTGCCACGAACAGGATCCCTGCTCCCAGAATGATGTTCCTCTTGGACTTGTAGACCCGGGAGGCCGCCACGCACACGCCCCCGAGCAGCAGCAGGATGGCGCTGAGGATGGGGAAAATGCTGGAGGCCCGGACGACTCCTGGAGAAAGGAGAGTATGGGGAGAGATTGGGGGGGGGGGAACCAGGGCGTCAGACACGGCCGCCTGGCCCCCTGGCGCCCCGCGCCTCCTGCTGCCTCCGTCTCCGCTTCTCTCTCGCTGGTTCGCTGGTTCTCCAATTCTCCTTCTCTACCTGGTTATTTTCTGTTATTGTCTCACTTTCTCTCCTCTTTAAAATTTCTCTCTTTCTCGATCTGATTGCCTCTCTCTTTTTCTGTGTCTTTTTCTTTCTTCCTCTATTTTTCTCTCTCCTGGCATATTTTTCTTCCCTTTTATTTCTCTAATCACTCTCCCTCTCTCTTTTTTTTCCCCTCGGAACTTCTCTATTTCTCTGTGGACCCTCTCCCTCTCTTTTTCCTTCTCGCACGCTCTTTCCCTTCCTCTCCTGCGCATTTTTTCCTTCCTCCAGATCTTTCTGAATCAAATCTCTAAATACCTCTCTCCCTCCCACCCCATCCCCCCTTCTGCCAGGCTTCACCTATCTCTCTGGGTTTCTCTTCTCTCTTCCCCTGCCCCCTCCTTCTCTCCCTCTCCCGCTCTCTACTTCCCTTCCTCCTCTCTGTCCCTCCCCGCACCCCTTCCTGCCTGGCTCCATCTGTAGCTCTGGGTTTCTCTTCTCTTACTTTCTCCCTTCTCTCTCTCTCCCCCTCTCTCTGCAGTCCTTTCCACCGTCTCCCAAACCCTAGGCAACCAGATTCTGCGATTTCTGAGCCCGGTTGAGGCCGCAGCCAATCATAACTCTGGATTTGCCGCGTTCTTGGGGTAGCTAACCAATCTCACCACAGGCTTCCCCAGCCAGCTCCCTAGAACGGCCCGTCCGCGCCGTCCGCGCCTCAGGTTGCCTCACGGCCCCAGGGCGCAGCGGCCAATCCCAACCCAGAGAGTCACTGCACTGAGTTGCCTCGAGTACCCAGGCCATCACGACGGCCAATCAGCTCCCGGGATCCCTTCTCAGCCCGCCCCAAGGTGAGAGGAGGGGGCGGGAGAGACCACTGAGCCAATCGGTGACCAGAGGATCTCAGTATCTGGGCTTGGATTGGCTGATAAGTTCATCTCTGCGTGTGGTTCTAAGTGCCGAAGCACAGCCCCCTCTCCCCTCGCACTTGCCCAAGCCCGGCAGTCCCCCCACTCTGTCCCCGACCCCCACGTACGGAGCAGATACTCCGCGCTGTCATGGTCGTAGTCCGTGTCCTCCGGGAAATGGTTGATCTTCACGCAGACGCCTCTTTTCAACCCTGGAGGGGAATGGAGGTGATAGTCGTGGGCAACCTTAAGAGTGCGGAAACCCCGGGTAAGAAAAGACCCTCCTGAAACCCCTTCTGATTGGGAGACAGGAAGTAATGGCTCCTGAGCCTGTCTGTGCACCTGGGACAAACTTTCAACCTCCCGGCCCCGGTTTCCCTACCAGTTAAAAAAAAGAAAAAAGGTAAAGAAAGGAAGGAAGGGAGGGAGGAAATCATCCAACACTCACTAAAAGGCCACAAGAACTTCTGCCCTGTAACCTGTACGGGGACAGTCTCTCTGGCCTCTGTTTCCACCTCTGTAAGAAAGAAGGCGTTGCTTTCAGCCATGTCGTCACTCTTCAACTCAAAATCGGTTGAAAATGCGTGGGAAAACGAAGAGGCGGCAGAGGGCCAGGAGGACTACACTTCCCATGAGGCCCTATGAAGTCTTCGAGTCCAATTGTGAGGAGAGAGAAGCCCCAGTGGATCACCGGGATGGTAGTCTCTTCAATCCTCCATACGGGAGAGGGATTCCCCGGCTCTCTACGCACTGCACCTGGGGTCCTCTGGGAAGAGATGCAGAGGTCGGAGCTAGCAGAGGCACGCTAGGGGTGCAGTATGCCTCCAGTGGTCCTGCAGTCTCAGCCCCTTCCTCCCCCCAAGAACCCACTTCCTTACACAGCTGCAGACCGATGTATAAATAAGTATAAATTTAAATACATTTTGTTTCCTCAATTCTCCAGGCTCCTTCCAACCTCCCGGCCACTGCCCAATGCTGCAGAACATCCTGCTTACATTCTTCATTGGCGAAAAACTTACCCTTGCAAGCGAGCAGTGCACGGGACACCGTCTTGAGGAAGCTTTCGCTCACACACACACACACACACACACACCTCCCACCCATTCTGGGGTGTAGCAGCTCCCTGTACTACCACCTTTTTAGCATGCATTGGTTTGATTTATGATCTTCTTCAGCAAGCTAGGAGTTCCTGCAGGGGGAGGGCACGGGGTCTGATTCCTCCGTGTGTCCCTAGCATTGCCTGGCACAAAGGAGGCCTCAAGAAATGAGTGTTGAAAGAATTAAATTATGAATGAATATAAGGATGACAGAAGGGGAGATTCGAGGCAAAAGATGACACGGAAAGAAAAGGGGGTAAAGGAAAAGATTGGAAAGAAGGACTATAAGGCAGTGAATAATTCCACTAAGAGCTACCATTTGTTAAGTGCTTCCTAGGTGGATTAACTCATCCACAGCTCACAGGAGATCCACGAAATAGATAATGTTATTGGTGTCGCGCAGTGACCAAACATTGAGAATTGGAGTCGCACTGCTTGATAATGAAGCCTGAATCCATCGTGTCCTTATTCTGTGACCTTGTTGGCCTTACTTGGGCCAATTTGCTTCGATCCCTTTTCCTATAACAAGGGGCTACTAGGACCTACCTCACTGGGTTGTTGTGAGGGTTGAATCCAGGTATAGAGATTTAGCACTTTGCCTGGAACACAATTAAGTGTTCAGCTGATACCACGCCGTATACCCATTGTCCAGATGAGGAAGCAGAGGCATAACAAGGGTTCATCAATTCACAGCTGATGGGTGGTGGAAGCAGAATCCAAACACACAGCAGTTTGCCCCCACTGGAATGTAAGCTTATAGGCTGTTCACCACTCTTCAACATCTAGAGCAATGCCTAACACATAGTAAGTGCTTAATAAATATTTTTATGTATGAATGATTGAATGGGCAACAAGCACATGAAAAGATCCTCCATATCACTAATCATTAGGGAAATGCAAATCAAAGCAACAGTGAAATACCCTCTCATAGATATGAGATACCATCCCATTAGGATGGCTACTATAAACAAGCAAACAAACAAAATAAAACAGAAAATAAGTGTTGGTGAGGATGTGGGGAAATTGGAACCCATGTGCACTGTTGGTGGGAATGTAAAATGGTGCAGTTGCTCTGGAGAACAGTATGGAGGTTCCTCAGAAAATTAAAATTACCATATGATCCAGCAAGTCCACTTCTGGGTATATACTCAAAAGAACTGAAAGCAAGGTCTCTAAGAAATATTTGTACATCCATTTTCGTGGCAGCATTATTCACAACAGCCAAAAGCAACCTAAGTGTCCGTCAATGGATGAACGGATAAAGTGTGGCATATATGTAGAAGGGAATGTTGTTCAGCCTTTAAAAGTAAGGGAATTCTGACACATGCTACAACCTGGATGGACCTTGAAGATATTATGCAAGTGAAATAAGTCAGTCACAAAAATACAAATACTGTATGATTCCACTCATGTGCGATATCTAGAGTCATCAAATTCACAGAGACAGAAAGTAGAATGATGGTTGCCAGGGGCTGGGAGCAGGGAAGAATAGGTACAGAGTTTCAGTTTTGAAAGATGAAAAGTTTTGGAGCTTGGGTACCCAATGTGAATCTACTTAACATTACTGAACTGTGCTTTTAAAAATGGTTAATATGGTACATTTCACATTCTGTGCATTTTACTTAAAAAAAAAAAAAGCCATTGAATGAATGAATGAAGATACACCTTTTGAGTGCAGACGTTTACCCATCAGCACGTCCAGTATGGTGTGGTGGGGGGGGGGTCAAGTTCTCTCCTTTCTTGAGTGGGATTATAGTACTTCTCTCAAAACATGAATGATAATTCAATGAGATTGAGCATGGAGAGTACACGGCATGCAGACTCTCCACAGACTAGTCATGCTGGCAGTAATGATAACTAGTACGTACTGAGGGCTAACCACACACTAGGCACGGCTCCAAGCATTTGACAGGTAGGTATTAACACAGTATGCATGACCAACCCTTAGAAATACCAGGCAGTGATAGTGTCCCTGCTTTACAGGTGAGGAAACTGAGGCATAGAGTTGAAGAAATTGCTCAGTTCTATAGATGGTAAATCATGGGGAGGAGACTCTGGGCCTCAAAGGTGAGCTTTTTTTTTTTAAGGTGAGCATTTTCTTTTCTTTTTCTTTTTTTCCTGGCCAAGCCATGCGGCTTGCGGGGGTCTTAGTTCCCCAACCAGGGATCAACCCCTGTGCAGTGGAAGCGCAAAGTTCTAACCACTGGACCGCCGGAGAAGTCCCAGAGGTGAGCATATTTATGGCAGTAGAGTGTAGTGGTTATGTTGGCCACGAGCACGGGCTTTGGAATCACATTCTCTGGACTCACATGCCAGGGCTGCCACTTCCCAGCTGGGTGGCTTTGGGGATTTGGACACCCCTGAGCCTCGGCTTCCTCGTTTGGAGAATGCGGATGGTGATAATGACCACATACGGTTTGCGAGCACTCAGTGACACACGAATGACAGAGTCAAGCGCGGACCGCACGGGGGTTATGCGGCACGCCTCTGCGTGTTATCCGACCAGCTGGGCTGGGAGCTCCTTAGGTGCAGGCGTGGTGGTGATGCGTCTGAGTCTCCCCAGGGCCCGCCTGACACAGACCCGGGCAGGCAGCGGTGGGGGGGAGTGGGGAAGCGGGATGGGGGGCGGTGCGTAGGGGTGTGTACTGCGGCGAGGACCACGGCTCTGCCCCTCGTACGCTGGGTGGCCACGTGGCTGACTCACTTCCCCTTTCTGGCCTTCAGCTTCCTGCTCTGACAAACTCGGGTGATAATAATACCTTCCCCCTGGAGCAACTGGGAGGATTCAATGAGATAATAAGGCCCGCAAAGTGCTGAGGACAGGGGCTCTATATAGTCCGCTCGAATAAATTGGGCTGTGGGTCTAGATTCTGGAGGCTGAGATTCCTGAGAAGGGAGCTAGACCCATACGGATCCCCCAGCCCTGGGGATGGTTCCGGGGCACTTGAAATGTGGCAACTGAGACGGAGTGTGAGTGTAAAGTGGGCACCAGATTTCAGATTTGGTATGAAGAAAAATGCATACTATTCCATCAATAATCGTTATATTGCTAACATGTTAAAATAACGGTTTGGCTACGCTTGGTTAGATAAAATGTATTACTAACGTTTATATTAGTGTATTATATTGTATAAATTGTATGTATTAAATTAGATTCATTGAACCTTCCCCTTTGTACTTGTTTTAATGCCACTGCTAGAAACATTTAAGTTATGTAGACAGCTTGTGTGATGTTTCTATTGGGCAGTGCTGGTTGGGAGGCTGGGACTTCTGGGTTATCAAGGAGGGGAAACTCAGGGGTTGGTCATCTGAATTCATAATACTAAGAAGAAGAAGAACAGAATATAAACGACATAGTCTAGCCTTTACCCTGTGCCTGCTGGCCTTTTGAATGCTTTACATGTAATAACTCATTGAATTCGCTCCACAGCCCTGTGGGTTAGGGGCCATTATAATCCCCATTTCACCGATGACGGAAATAAAGCACAGAGAAGTAGAATATATGGCTCAATGTCACCTTCCTGTGCACAGCAGACAGGAAGTAACCCAATAAGTATTGTTCTCGAGTCTATGTCCCAATCACAGCTTTCTACTGCACTTCTCAGAAAGACGGAGGGACAAGAGGATGGGACCTAAGAATTCCTGGGGACAGAGTGTCTTCAGGGGGCAATGGCCCGGGGGGGGCAGTTTCTACACCCCTGGATCCCCGATAGGATGGAGGCTAGTGGTTATATTGCTTTGACTCCTGGGAAACCAAAGAGACCTGGATTCAGATCCAGACTCTACTGCATATTAGCTGTGTGACCTTGGGAAAGGTGCTTTCCTTCTCTGAGCCTTAAGCGTTCATTTCTAGGAGATGGGGGTAATAGTAGTACATAGCGCACAGAATTATTGTGAGCATCCAATGACACATGAATGATGACTATAATAACAATAAAGTCTACCTTCATTTACCCCCTGCTTAACACAATTCCTTTGGCTCCCAGGACCCAGTTACTCATTTTCCCCAAACCTCTGTGGTCACTCCTTTCTCAGCTCCCTTTGCTGGCTCTTCTCATCTTTCTGATTGTCTTTGAATACTGGACTAGCTCAGGCTTCAGCCCTTCAACTAATTTTTTGGTTTGTTTCTGTCTCTGCTCATCCATCCACATGCCATGACCCGCCCACCAGCCCAGACTCTCCCCTGAACTCTGACCTCATATATCATATCGCTAACATCCTAGATCAGGGGGTCAGCAAACTATGACCCACAGGCTGAACCCAGCCTGCCAAATCCAGCGAAGAATGGGTTTTACTTTTTTTTTTTTTTTTTAATGATTGAAAAGCTGTCAGAGAAGACTATCTCGTGGTATGTGAAAATGATATAAAATTCAAATGTCAGTGCCTGTAAAGGAAGTTTAATTGGAACCCAGCCACACTCATCCACTCACGCATCATCTCTGGCTATTTTAAGGAGTAGCAGCAACAGAGATCACACGCCCCACAAAGCCTAAGAAACTGACTGTACGGCACTTTGTGAGTCCTTTCCTATACTGACTCCTGTCCTACACAGTATCTCAAATAGGCACCCTCAATTTATTTTTGTAATTTTGGGGGGTAAAGTCACCTCAATTTAACATGTCCAAAACTGAGCTCATAATAGCCCTCCTTATAATAAATTGGGTAAGAGTAAATAAAACAAATACAATAAAATACCAGCTGTTCCAACAGATGAATCTCCCCCACCCCTACCCCACCACATTCTCTGGTGTTCAGGCCACAGCCTTAGAGCAGTGACTCTCAATTAGGGGCGATTTTATTCCTAGTCTGGAGACAGTTGACAATTTTGGTGTCCACACCGGTGGATGCTGCTGGTGTTTAAAAGGTAGAGCCCAGGGATGCTGCTACACATCCTACAACACGCAGGACGCACCCCCCAACCCCAGCCCACAGCCGCAACACGGAATTATCCATCCCCAAATGTCAACAGCGCTGAGGTTGGGAAACCCGCTTTCAAGACGCCCCGACACTTCTCCCTCATATCCTACAACTGCCCCACCAGCAATTCCTGCCCGCTGTAGTGGCAGAACATACTCGCAGTTGAAACCCAAACTCTATGGCTCCCACCCCAGATAAGCCACCTCCCATTCTCCCTTTTCCTTTCCTCCTAAATCAACACAGCAGCAAGAGCGATGCCCTTAACCTTTAAGCCAGCTCCTGTCACTCCTCCCCTCCGATGTGGAAAGCAAATTACATTCCAGGACCTGGAAGTTCGTGTTATCGCCTTGACTGCACCTCCTACCATGTCCCTCCTCACCACCTCTGCCTGGGCCACGCGGGCCTCCCATCATGGTCAGACACAAGGCACATTCCCACTGCAGAGCCTGAGCAATGTTTCTACAGCCTGAAGCATTTCCCTCCAGAAGCCACATGGCTCCATCTCTGGGTTCATTTAGCCTACCCCTCGGATGTCACCTGCTCAGTCCCCTTTATCTCCAATTTCTGCAGTGTCACACCCTTGCCCCTAACACTTCCCATCCCCTCCCTTGCTCTTTTTCCTCCTTTGCACTCAGCTCTAACACCCTAGGTGTTGTATTTACTTATCTCCCTTATTATCTGTCTCTCCTTCTAGAATATAAGACATATAAAAACAGCAGTCTTTCATGTACACACTGCTATATTTAAAATGGGTAACCAAGGGCTTCCCTGGTGGCGCAGTGGTTGAGAGTCCGCCTGCCGATGCAGGGGACGCGGGTTCGCGCCCCGGTCCGGGAAGATCCCACATGCCGCAGAGCGGCTGGGCCCGTGAGCCATGGCCGCTGAGCCTGCGCGTCCGGAGCCTGTGCCCCGTAACGGGAGAGGCCACAACAGTGAGAGGCCCGCGTACCGCAAAAAAAAAAAAAAAAAAAAAAGGATAACCAACAAGAACCTACTGTATGGCACAGAGAACTCTGCTCAATGTTGTGTGGCAGCCTGGATGGGAGGGGAGTCTGGGGGAGAATGGATACATGTATATGTAGGGCTGAGTCCCTTTGCAGTGCACCTGAAAGTATCACAACATTGTTAATTGGCTATACTCCAATATAAAATAAAAAGTTAAAAAAAAAAAAAACAGGTTTCTTTGCTGTTGGTTTTTTTCTCCTTCCACTTCTATAGCTCCAGAATCAAGAACAGTGTCTGGCACACAGTATAAACTCAATAAATAGTGGTTGTTGGGGAGGGGATGAATACATGGAATGACTGCTATTTGCTGTACACTGTCCATCAGTGTATAATGAGAAACTGGGTGTCAAATTATAACATAATGAGAAAATTGGATGGGCGTGAGGCAATAGGGACCAGGGGTGATGGGAGAAAGGGAGACCCTCATGCCTGATCTCAGGAAGCAGCTGCTACTCGGATCCAGCCAACCGTGGCCACTGCAGGCTACTGGCCCTGCGTTGTCAGATCTTCCACTAGTTCAAAAGAAGCTGGAAATCGGATTTTCAATGTGCAATCTCCCTATTTTTAAGTGTTGGCAACCGATTCAGATTTTGGTTTCAGTTTTAAACACTCCACACACCAGACAAAGCCTATCTGCAAATCCCATCCATCAGACCTGAGTTCTCTTGGCTCTTCCCCAGTCACAGCTGGGTTACCTTGGGCAAGTAGCCTAACATCTCTGAGCCTCGGTTTCCTCATCCTCAACAGGAGGGTGGTGCCCTGCCGACCCCCCCATAGGATTAAATGAGATAATAACATTCCTTGCTCATCAAGAGTACCCAGCAAGGGACTTCCCTGGTGGTGCAGCGGTTAAGGGTCCACCTGCCAATGCAGGGGATGCGGGTTCGAGCCCTGGTCCGGGAGGATTCCCACATGCCGCTGAGCAACTAAGTCCCTTTGCCACAACTATTGAGCCTGCGCTCTAGAGCCCGTGAGCCACAATTACTGAGCCCTCGTGCCACAACTACTGAAGCCCGCGCGCCTAGAGCCAGTGCTCCGCAACAAGAGAAGCCACCTCAATGAGAAGCCCGCGCACCGCAACCAAGAGTAGCCCCCGCTCGCCGCAACTAGAGAAAGCTCGCACGCAGCAGTGAAAACCCAACGCAGCCAAAAATTAAAAAAAAAAAGAGTGCCTAGCAAAACGGAGGAGGAAAAGATGGGGAAAAGAGAGGGATAAAAAGAGAAGTGAAGGGATTTTGATCTTTTTGGCCCTGGAGGGGAAATTGGGGATTGGCTGGTCCCACTCCTTCATGTTGCAGACCAGGGCCCTGAGGCTTGGGGAGGTGACAAGACAGTGAGCACACAGGGGGACAGATGCACAGGAGGACTGGAACCCAGGTGTCCTGCTTCCCAGCCCATCACTTCCACGCTATGTGGAAAGAAATGGCAAAGCTGAGAGCAAAACAAACAGAGGAGCTGCTAAGAGGAAGAGGCCTGGTGTGGGGAGATGGGAGGCCGAGGGAGCCAGCTGGGAGGGAGCCTGCAAGGAGAGTAGGACCAAGCAAAGAGCAAAGATGGAGATTAGAAGAGGCGGTGGCCTCAGCGTCAAGAAACAGGGTCTGGAAGGAGGACGTCAAAGGGAGGATGAATGGAGGGAAGATGAGGAAGAAGCTTCTAAAGACCAAGGAGGACAAGGACCCGCAGGGGAGGCTGGGAGGCCTGATGGGGAGAGGCGGGCAGACAAGATCCGCCGGAGGACAAGCCACAGAGAGGAAAGAGGAGAGGGCCGTGAGTTACGGGCCGTGAGTCACGGGCAGTTAGGGTGGGATGTTTTAGGAGAGAAACAGCCAAAGTGAGGCCAAAGGGACGGAGGAGATGGGGAAGACACTGTGACTGGGTCCATAAGAGGTAGGGGCGCTCAGAGGGCAGAGGTAGGACGTGGGGGAGAGAAGATGCAAAGGGCAAAAGGAGGAGGGAGGCCCAGCTCAAGGGTGAGCGGGAAGCGGGGAGGCAAAGCAGAGAGGGCCAGTGCCGGAATCGAGGCAGAGGGAGCCCCTCACGCAGGGAGGCCAGGCACCTACAGGGGTGAGAGGGAGGGAGGAGAGGGGGCTTTCCCCACGAATGAAGGAAAGATAAGATTAGGGGGGTCCCGAGCGGAGGGGGCGCAGGACGTGCCGAGTGACGGAGAGGCGTGAGTGGGGAGGGTCGAGGTGAGGGGGGCGGGATTCAGAAGAGGGTCAGGACGCAGAGAAGAGTGAGAAGGACGGGGGAAGGTGTGTGGGCAGGCGTGGCAAGGAGCCCCAGGAGGAGACGGGAGGCCGCAGTGGGGACCACAGGAAACTGGGAGGTTTCCCGGGGAGGAAGCCCAGCCGGCCGCGGACGGGACGAGGGGCCGGGCCGCAAATGGAGGGGCGCAAGGCCGGGGCCCCCTCCACCCTACCTTCCAGGCAGCAGATCCTCCAGAGGCCCGAGTGGGTGAGTCCGCCGGGGTCCTTCTTCTCCGAGGAGCCACTGCCCCCGCGGTGGTGGGGCCCGTCGTCGCCAGCCGTGAGGTTGGTGGTGTTGCAGATGAAGGCGCGTGTGTAGAGCCAGTAGTCCGTGCTGATGGCAATGGTCATGAGGCCGAAGGCTGCGAAGGCGCCCACCGTGGTGAGCAACACCTGCACCCCCTTCTCGCACCAGAGGCCCCTCTCTTCGTTCCAGCGCTTCAGCGACTCCAGTTTGACCACGGGCAGCCGGGGGGCCGTGGGCCACCACCGGGGCAGCGGGGGCGGGGCCGTGCCGGCGGCTGGGGGGGTCACAGCGCAGGCAGAAGTGGGGGGCCCGGGGCCAGGGGCTGGGGAGGGGGCGGCGAGGAGGAGGCTGAGGCCGGGGACGGGGTCAGAAGGCAGCCATGGTCGGCAGCTGGTGAAGGGCAGGGAGCGAGATAAAGGATTAGACAGGAGGGCTCACCTCCCTGGACACCCCTTTACCTGCACCCCAGCCCCCCAAAGAAACCCGACTCCTTCCTCGGTTGAAGAAACTCCTTCCACTCTGCTTGCCACTGCCACTTCTCTGAAAAACAATCTCCCTGTGTCCAAGAAATTCTTCCCACTAATCCCACTCTGAGGCATACCCCTCGGCATCCCTGAGTGCCGTAGGACACGCCTCCAGGCCCCTCCAGCTCCGCCCCCCTGGTCTCACCGTCCTCCCCACAGGGAAAGCGTCCCTCACTCCAGCCCCCGGTGCCTCTTCCTCCCCAGGAACCCCTGTCCTGTTACTCATTTCTTATAAAATGTTCTCATAAAGCTCTACCCACTCCCTACCTTCCCCTGCAAGGCCCACCACTTCACCTACTATGGCCCCTACTTAGGAAAAATAAATCTCTCAATCTCTCCTCAGCTGAAAAAAACAAAAACAACAAACACAACAAAACTCAGATCTTCCAAACTCATCCCCACAGTTTGCACAACTCAGAAAACCACACAGTTGTCATCACTACCACCCCACCTCCACAGTCTCCTCTGCATGGGAACCCCTACCCCACTCAGAACCCTATGTTTCTGGACCAGGGTTCTCAACCTTGGTGGCACCTTGAAACCACCAGAGGATACTGATACTTGAGAAATTCCGATTTCATTGGTCTGGGGTGTGGCCCTGAGCATCTAGGTTTTTAAAACTTCCCCGGGGGATTCTTTTAAAGAATCCAACACCGCTGGACCCCCTGGATTAGAAGAATGCCCCCCATCTCCATCACATTCCCTCTAACCGCCCCACTTGTCTTCCTTGGACCACTCTCCCATCCCCTACTATGTCTTTGACTCAAGGAAAATACTCCACTCTTTCGTTTGCTTATAGGAGTCTTCCAAATCTGGTCCTCAGTATCTCTACAACTTAGACAAACTCATCATAGCCATCACTTTCTCCTCCATTAAGAAAAATTTCTTCCGTGAGTTGCAGGGCATTTTCTACTCACAGGAATCCCTTTCTCTAGACCCCAAATTCCTCTCCATTCAGAAATCTCCCAAGCTCTGACCTGCATATTCACTGTTGTGGAAGGAAATCCCCCCACTCTACCCAGCATCCCCCACCCCCTTCCTCTGCCCTTCCACCATCTCCCACGACCTCCAAATCTCCTCTCCGTAGCCCTTGTTATGGGGATGAACCCCCCAGTTCCAGATCTCCCCAGCTCCCTTCGACATCCCGCTGTCTCTTGAACTTATAAGAACCTCCCCCCCACACACCCTGACTTCTCTTACATCACAAAGAATCCCCTTCACTCTTGCCACCCTCCTCCACCTACTCTAGCTCCCAGCATCGCTTCTGCTCAGGAGAATCCCCTTCATGTCTCCCTCAGACTTCCCTTCTTGGGAACACCCCCAGAACTCCCCCTTCTATTTCACCTGTGCAGGAACATACACCATACACTCAGTCTTCTTCCAAATTTCAAAAGATCCCCTCCATAGACAGTGCCTCTTAGAAAAATTTGATCCACAAGACCACAACTCTCTTTCAGTTGGGAATAATTTCCCACTCTGCAGCCACCAAGGGTCCATTCATTTTCCTCTCCCACAGCACCCCATCACCACGCCCCCTGCCCTGCCTTTTCCACCTTACCCCAACCCTCCTTCCAGGCATGCATCCCTTACCAGCTTCCACCACTCACTCTATCTATCCTAGACTTCTTCCCCCAAACCCCCTATTCTAGTTAAGAGCCTGGAAGCCTTAGAGGAGGAAACAAACAAACAAACAAACCTGATTCTGGGTCCCAGTACCAGGGTGACCTTGGCCTCTTCCGCCCCCATCAGCTGGCCCTCACTGGGTCTGCTCCAAGGAGGGGTGTTGGAAAGGTTGTCTATGGGGGGGGTGTCTCCATGGCAACTGGGCCTAGTGCCCCACACGTGTGTTCTCTCCTCACCTCCACTCCTGCCTGCCCACGCACGGCCCCTGCCCTGGCCCCATTCAACAGTGCCCTGGACACTGACATCCCTGTGGCCTCCCTGGCCTCACTTCTGGCCGCTTCCTGTCTTTCCTCTCCAGAAAGACGCTGAGTTTCCTCTCCTCTCCATCTCTCGGCCTCTTCTCCCCGCTTCTGTGCCCCCTCACCACCAGCACCACCACCTCCACTGTCCTAGCAGGTTTCTGCCTCCAAGGGGGGTGGGAGGGTGAGCCTGTGACCACAGGATGTACCCATTCCCCTGCTGGGCCCCCTAGGACCGGGATAAGGAGGGGATGGCGAGGGGAGGCGAATGATGGAAATTCTTCATCATATAAAGATTCGAAGATCTTTTCATTTTGTCGATTTGGGGGGCACTCTGCTTGGTTTTAGGGGTTCTTCCTTTAGTCCATCTGTCAGCAGCAGCAAAGGAGGGAGCAGGGGACACCCCCAATTCGAAAGCTCCGGGATGTGAGAGGGGTCATCATCCCTTCTCCCTCTGAAGGGGACCAGCTCCTTCCTCCAGAATTAGGGGGGTCACAGAGCCTTCATTTTACATCCACCCACCTCCGATTAATAAAAAGATCTCTCTCACCTCTGTTAACGATAGGTCAACTCTCCGATGCACGGGGGAGGGGACGTTGAGCCCCCCTGTCGGCAACCCCCCCAGGAAAACCCTTGTGGCTCCCAATTCTCACTGCTCCCCTCCCCCAGCAGCGAGGGACCCAGGCGTCCGACCTGGTTGGGGGGTGGAGATGAAGAGGCGTCCGGGGAATGGGGGTGTTGAGGTGGGAGGGGAGGCTGAGGGGCAGCTCTGAGCTCGGGCCCCGAGGGAGAGGGGGTCGGGATGGGGGAAAAGAAGGTGAGGAGACAATTTGGTTCCCGTGTCGCTGGGTAAAGTGCGGAGCTGGAGGACGAGAGAGGGAAGGAGGAGGGAGGGAGGGGGAGGGGAGCCGCTGAGGATGGGGGAGCCACGGAGAGGAGATGGATTGGGGGGAGGGAAGTGATGGGGGGCAGGGTCTGGGTGGCAGAAAGAAGCTGGGGAAAAAGAGAGAGACCCAGAGAGGGAGGGAGAGAGACAGAGCCAGGAGAAGCGGAAAGAGAGAGACCCAGAGTCGGGGAAACAGAAATGGGGGAGGGAGAAATTTGGGGGAGGCAGCGGCTGGTAGCAGAAGGAAGTTGGAGAGGGAGACACACACACACACACACAGAGAAATATCCAGAGAGAGAAGGGGACAGAGGCAGAGATGCAAACAGAGAAACGCAGAGACTGGGGAAGAAATGGGGGATGGGGAAAGATTGGGGCGAGGGAGAGGATGGGGGTCAGGATCTGGGTAACAGAAGGAAAGAAGGGACAGAGAGAGAGTCATCCAGAGAGGGGGAGGAGAGACAGATGGGGAGAGAAAGACAGAGAGAGACTGCGAGGATGGGAGAGAGAGAGAGGGAGAGAAAGAAGGAAAAAGTGGGGAGAGAAATTGGGGATGGGGCAAAGGTCTTAACAGAGAGAAGAATGCGAGAGAGAGAGAGAGAGAGAGAGAAAAGAGAGAGAAAATTTTAAAAATTTAGGGGAGAGGGGTCTGAGTGGCAGAAGGTGCCCGGAGACAGAAAGGCAGATGCAGAAGGAAAGAGAGGGACCCAAAGAGAGAGACAGATGGGGAGAGACTGAGACTGGGAGAGAGAGAGACCCAGGGAACGAGACAGAGGTAGAAACTGGGGAGGCATCAAAAGGAAGCCGGAGAAAAATAGGAGAGGGGCCAGTCTCAGATGAATGAAGGAGGTCGGAGATAAAGGATACCCCTGCCTCCTCCCCCACCTGCATCCCCAGCCCCTGCTCCCTACCCCCATCCCCATTTCAAAGCCACCCCCCACCCCCACTAGCCTCCATCTCTCCACAGCATCGCTTGCCGCCGCCACCGCCTCTTCCTGTCGTCATAGCAACAGGATCCAGGCGCCCAGCCAAGGCTGGCAGCAGCGGCCGGAAATGAGGGGAGGGCCTTTTAAAATGGACCCCAGGAGCTCTCCCCTTTCCCAAAATCCAAGGGAAAGCTCCACCTCCCCGAGTCTTCCCACCATTCCCCCCCACCAAGTGGCAAGGGCAAAGAGCCACTGAAAATAAAATTATACTAAACTTACAAGGATAGAAAGCCTTTTGAGTCTCACCAAGAATTTTTTTTTCTTCTTACCAGCTACCCACCCCTAGCTCAAAGAGTTAGATTCCCCCAAGATGGGGATGGGAGTGAGGAGAAAAGTAGGATGCGCAAAGCTTGAGTGGAAATAAGTTTTAAAGAAGTCTGTCTGGGGTTGGGTCGGAGGGCTATGCAACAGTTTTGAGAAGACTGGATTTGCAAGTTCTAGAACTAGCCAGTGGGTAGAAGGTGGGACAACTCCAGGGAGAAAATCTCAGATGAGAGTCAGAAAGTTTGGTCTTGGGTTCAAATCTCAGAGATGCCTGTAGCCACTGTGTGACCTTGGGCAAAACATTTCCTCTCTTCTAGACTCAGTTATAATGGGTGCAAAAACTGCCTGCAATTAAACGGGAACACTGGTGAGAAAAGGTCTTTGCGTGCTGCTCTAGACAAGCAGTTATTTCAAGACTGTGTCTTCACAGGAACATGATCAAAAATTAAGCTAGCCATAACCACAGACTTGGGCTAGGGAGTCTGCATACTGTCTCACGGAATTCTTACAGAATCCTTGTAATGTGGGCACTGATATTCCCATATTACAGGTGAACAAACTGAGGCTTGGAGATGTGCAGTGATTTGCCCACAATCACCCGGGAAATACAAAGTCAGCACTGGAGATGAAGCAGCCTCTTTGTGGGGAGTTGCCAGGAACAGTCAGCAATAGGTGAACTTCAGAGCCACTTAACCATTCCTGTGCCAGCTCCTCCCTTTTGGGGGCTGACAGAAGACAGAAAAAACCTGAGTTCCCCGCACATTCAATCACCTCCCCTGAAGGAGCATCTCAGATTTCCACTGGAATTTCTTCAGGGGAAAGGAGTTTAGAGAAGCATTGTGACACCCTTGGTTTAGAAGCAAAGAAATGCCAGCCTCGAGGGAAGGGGCCTGGAATTCATTCGTTTGAGAAACATTTGTTCAGCCCCCCCCGTTCTTTTGCCAGGGAGAAGGATACAGCTGGGGACAATAATGGTAATTGATATAAACTGAGTGCTGAATGTTACAGACTCTAAGTGATTTGCCTGCACGGACTAGGTCTTCCAGGTTCTCTTATTAGCCCCCATTTTAAAGATGCGAGGCTGAGAGAGGTAAGCACATCCTGCACATAGGAAGCGGTAACAATGTAAATCAGAGTCAAGTCTTCAGATTCCAGAACCTGTGCTATTTTCACTGCTTCTCTGTCCTTTGGTGGGGGGAGGGGGGTGTTTATATCCTAAATGGGGGAACTATAAATAAACAAACACAAAAACAAATACTTTGAAAGGGCGAAAACAGCATGAAGCTGATAAAATAAGCTGAGGTTTCTAAATCTCGGAACTATTGACATTTGGGCTGGATAGTTCGCAGGGCGGGGCGTGGGGAGGGCGCTGTCCTGTGCATTGTAGGATATCCAGCAGCATCCAGGAACTCTGCTCACTAGATGCCAGTAGCAAGGGATTATAATCAAAAGAATTCAGTCTGTTCCACCTCAAATCCTGCTCCATACTGGAAGTCTTTTAACATTTTCAGCTGTTTCTTCTCTTACTTGCCTTTGCATCCCTAAATAATAATTATCTTCTAGATGTGTCAGCAATATACATTGTAGATTCTTCTCTCTGATAGATAAGGATTTAACTCATGGAGACCTCATTTTTCCTCCCTATAAGTATTTTTAATTCTTCTATTGGTTAATTTTGTGGTATTAACTAATAGACTTATATCATGATTTCTTCTTTCAGAGGGCATATCTTTTCTCTCCCTTTTTAAGCAGCTTTATTGAGATAGAACCCACATACCATGCAATTCACTCAAAGTGTATAATTCAATGGCTTTAACTATAATCATAAAATAGTGCAAGCATCCACCTTAGATCCATTATAGAACATTCTCATTTGCCCAAGGAGATATCACACACCCCTCAGCCAGTCACCCCCAATCTCCCCACCCAGCGCTAGGTAATCACTAATCTACTTTCTGTCTGTATAGATTTGCCAATTCTAGACATTTCATATAAATGGAATCATACAATATATGCTCATTTGTGATGGGCTTCTTTTGCTTAGCATAATGTTTTCAAGGGTCATTCATGTTGTAGCATGAATCAATACTTCATTTCCTCTTATTGCAGGATAATATTCCATTGTATGGATATACCACATTTAACTATTGGATATTTGGGTTATTTCCAGATTTGGCTACTATGAGTAATGCTGCCGTGAACATTTGTGTACACATTTTTGTGGGAAGGTATGTTTTCACATCTGTTGAATGTATACCTAGGAGTGGAATGTCTGGATCACATGTTTATCCTTTTGAGAAATAAGGCAGCATCTCTGGACTTCATTCTGCAAGACAGAAATATTAGACCCACTGAGCAACTCTTCAGCTCACTGACGGACTCTTCAGAAGGGGTGTCCCAGAAGATGCAGGTGATGGACGCTTCAGCTCTCATTTCTAAATTTGCTCATGAATTCATCTCACATTAGCCGAGGTCTCCCATGGGGCTAACCCGGAGACCTAGAGGCTGTAGACTCAGAGACAAGTCTGCTAAGCCCCTAACCTTGAGAAGGTCCTCCACCCTCACTTCCCCCGACCCCATGTGGTAGGCAGAACTCCAAAATGACCCCCAATATTCCCACCCGCTTGTGCAATCCCCTCCCCTTGAATGTGGGCAAGACTTGAGAATAGGATGGGGTGCCACCCCCATGATTAGGTTACATTATATGCAAAGTGAAGGAATTTTGCTTGTGTAATTAAGGTCCCTAATAAGTTGACTTGAAGTTAGTCAAAAGGAAGATTATCCTGGGTGGGCCTGACCTAATCAGGTGATTTTTTTTTTTTTTTTTTTTTGCGGTACGTGGGCCTCTCACTGATGTGGCCTCTCCCGTTGCGGAGCACAGGCTCCGGAAGCGCAGGCTCAGCAGCCATGGCTCACGGGCCCAGCCGCTCCACGGCATGTGGGATTTTCCCAGACCGGGGCACGAACCCATGTCCCCTGCATCGGCAGGCAGACTCTCAACCACTGTGCCACCAGGGAAGCCCCAGGTGATCTCTTTTAAAAGGGTCAAGAATCACCTCACACCAGTCAGAATGGAAAGTCTACAAATAATAAATGCTGGAGAGGATGTGGAGAAAAGGGAACCCTCCTACACTGTTGGTGGGAATGTAAACTGGTACAACCATTATGGAGAACAATATGGAGGTTCCTTAGAAAACTAAAAATAAAGCTACTGTATGATCCAGTAATCCCACTCCTGGGCATATATCTGGAGAAAATGCTAAGTCAAAAAATACATCCACTCCAATGTTCATAGCAGCACTATTTACAATAGTCAAGGCATGGAAGCAACCTAAGTGTCCACTGACAGATGAATGGATAAAGAAGATGTGGTATATATAGTCAATGGAATATTACTCAGCCATAAAAAAG